TGTTATGCTTTTTTTGTTACAATCGTTTTCGTTACTATTATTTATTAATTCATTAACGTTGTTTTCATTATTATCACCATTATTATTATTTTTGTTATTATTACAGTCATCACATCCATTATTATTAGATTATTATCATGTAGAAATGTTATAACTACTGCTACTTCTACTACTACTACTGCTACTACTACTACTACTACTACTGGGACTTCTACTACAATTATCATCATTATTATCATTGTCATCATCATTATCATCAGCATCATCACAATTATCATTAGCTTTATTATTTTTGTTATTGTTAATATTATCATTAGTAGTATCATCATTAATATCAATATCTTTACTATAATTTTATCATTAACATTGTTGTAGTAGTGTTTGTATTAGTATGTACCATTATTGTTATTTCTATCATAATTGTTACCTTTATTGTTATTATTATTATTATTATTATTATTATTATTATTATTATTATTATTATTATTATTATTATTATCATTACTATTTATTATTTGTAATAATGCCATCATTATTATTTCTTTAATCCTTATTGCTTTCATTAATGTTATTACTACTTTCACTTTTATTGAAAATATTATATTCATCACCACTGTCGATGTTCGTATCATTTCTTACTGCCTATTAATTTCCATAGTGACTGTCATTGTTATCCTTTTATGGTCATAGGTGTCACTGTCATCATTAATACTACAACTTATTACAACTGTTAATACTGTTATCATTACTATCACTATTATTACTACAACTATCAATGCTGTCATTATTACTACAACTATGAATACTTTCATTATTACTACTACAATAATCATTACAACTATTAATACTGTCTATTATTACTGCAACTATTAATACTATAATTATTAATACTACTGTTGACACTGCCATCTTTTCTAATATTATTAACACTATCTTTAGCATCCTCATTACCTCTATCATTATTCTTTCAACTATTCTTTTTCTCCCTCCCCCCTCCCCCCTCCAGACCCCGAGGACCAGACCCGGCCCGACCGCCGCGGCGAAGGGCACCGCTCGGGCATCTCCGAAAACCACTCCCTCCACAACACCCCGCCCACGTCCTCCGCCCCGCCCCGCCCACGTCCTGGACACGCCCTCAACGCCGGCCTCGTCAGCGGTCTCCTCGCCGCGTGGCTGCTTCACGCCCTCGCCGCCGCCCGTCAGCGTGTGTGACGGACGTGAGGGTGAAGGAATGCGAAGGAAAGAGGGATGAAGAAGATGTGGAGATAAAGACAGAGAGAGAATAGAGAGAAAAAAGATGGAGAATCAGGTGGAAAAAAAAGAGAGGCAGATATGTGATGGATGGAAATATGTAGAGTGAGAGAGAGAGAGATACACAGAGATACACAAAGACAGGACATTAGAAAAGAGAGAGAGAAAAAAAAATGTGATATGTGATAGTCGTGTTGACGTAACCCCACCGGCGGGTCGACCACAAACCGAAGCTGGGAGACAATTCCGCATTTTCTGAACAGATTCTGTTACTGCGTGCTGCTGTGTTGCTACCATTATTACTACTACTTACCTTTCTATCATCATATGTTAGTGTTGTTGCTGCCACGTGCTAAAAGATAATGATAAATAAAAAGTATATATATATGATAAATTAAAATATTTACTGCTCTGAACACGTGCTGGTGTTGTTGTTGCCATGTACTGAAACCTCTGGCCCAAGTGTTAGCATGTGAAGCCCCTCGTGTTTTGATAGGCCTACTTTTCCTGTCACGTGCTGTTAACGTCGCCCCGCCCTCTGGCGAGTGCTTAGCGCAAGCACCTCGCTAGAGACTGTTGCCGCCCCGTGCTTGTGCAACAGAGCAGTAGGCTTGCAACAAGGACGGCCGTTAACAGCACAGCGAAAGCCCGCGTGTGACGATGATGCAGATGCTGTTACGTCGCTCGCGTGTGTGACGAGGATGCAGATGTTACGTCGCTCGTCTCGTCGTAACGCCAACCCTCCTCCTTCCTGGTCCGAAGTCGCACACACACACCCAGCTGTATCATTCGCCTTCACGTATTGCCTTCCCTTACACGTAAATCATTCCCTCGTGTCTTCCTCTATACCTCCTCTTGGTTCGTCTGCCGCAAGCAGGCAAGCAGACGACAGGCAGTGTATGCCTTCCTTTGGCATCGGGAGTCTCTGGATTCCCAGCTGAGAAAAAAAAAGTATATATCAAACCAGCGAAAGAAGATGAAAAAAAAAATCATATTTCGTGTCCACTTCTGTATAGTTGTATATACATATATATATATATCTATATCCATAGCATCTGTAGCAGTTCATTCTCCCTGTTTTTTTTTTTCTTTTTATTTAACGTCGTCGGCGTTACAGATATCGAGACCACAGCAAGAAGAGAAAGAGGGAAAAGGTCCAGCAACATAGATCTTGAAGGGCCTCTTCCTGCTTCCTCCTGAGACCGTAACTGTAAACTTTTTTCTTTCTTTCTTTCTTTTCTTTTCTTTC